CGAACATGAAAGTAGCTCCATTTTGAATCCCAAATATGGTTCCATCAATGGTTCTTGAACGAGCAATCCCATTGCTTGTTTCACTTGCTTTGCCCTTGATCGCGTCATTGGCCCGCCATTGACTAACAACGAATCTCGTCTCGCACTCGCCTTCGTCGGGCTCGACTCCTGGATCATATCACTTTAGGCCCATTCCCCTCAATAAATAGTATTCTTCTCGATAAATCTCTTAAAGATACCACAAGCTTACACCATTGAGATCAACTGCTTAACGGTATTATGTCTTCGATTTACACATCTAGACTTACCATTACATGTGACTTAAAATCTTATTAAATATAGCTAGCCATCGATCAATTCATTTAATAGTTACACATTGTTAACAACAAGAAATCCTCTCATGAAGCTACGTGCTTCTCATTAGCTTTATCTAATGCTTTATCAATTTCCAAATAAAATTGAAGGATTTCTATCAAATCATTACACTAGTCAATCATATTTACTAGTGGATTTCAGAATCATGGGTATTCTTCGAACTTTATGAAAATTCTCCAAATATTCCCATTGTTCTTGCATATCCAAACACAAGCCATAATCAGCTTTCATCCCACTTTATCCACTTTAGACTTAGGGTCCGTTCAATTGCAAAGATGGAATTGAATTACCTAGAAAACGAATTCCAGGAAATTGAATTGTCTAGAATTGTTTTCCTGAAAATTGTAAATTATTGTGTTTGATTGGTATAATTTTTCACGTGGAAAATGTTGAAATAAAAGTGTTTTTTAATGTTCGTTTGGCTTTATTTTACATGAAAATTGTCAATTAAAGGGAAAACTTTTTTTACAATAATTCTTAGAATTGGTTTCCATTACCAACAAAAAAAAAAAGACGAAAAAAAATAATAATCACTACAGTATGGTGGAATTTGAATTCTCACCATGAGAATTCAAATTCCACTAAAACAAGGAAGATTCCAAGTTCTAAGAAATCCAAAAAATGCAATTCCATGGAAAATATAAGGTATCAAACACCAAAAGTTGGAATTTCCAATTCCATCTTTTTTTTTTTCCCATTTCCATGCTATCAAACACTCCCTTAGTGTTTATCATCCTTATAATTAGTATAAAGGCATCTTTCCTTTCTAGCTTCATAGATATCTTTCTGTAAGGTATAGGAAAATGTAACTTTAAACTAAGTTACCACCACAATTCCTCAATTAGGAATATATGTGAAAGTAGTAGTATTGCACCCATACGTCTTGAACTTTTCATATAAGTTCACAGACATTAATATTAACCCCCACATTCTTGGGTTATAATTGAACCTAGAGTTCAACAACTCTTTTCATAGTTCAATTAATTTATTCGTGAAAGTCTAAGTACTTTCACAATAGTGGTCATCGACGCACACAAATGGAAAATTATTTTCCATTCAAAATTGTACTTCAATCAATTATAATAGTTTAATCATCCAAATTAAATTAAGGTCGTTACATAGACTAGCAATGCTTTTCCAAGCATGAACCAACTTAATTGGTTTCACGATTGAAGTCAAATTCAACATTGAAGAAGACTAAGCATCTTGCTTTACAAGAATTGCAACTTCTCCAAATTTTATCACTTTGTTCACTTGAAATAATTATGCACATATTCACCTTATTCACCATATTCAATTTGAATGAATGAATCAACCATCAGTTGGAAAGTTGTGTTTTCAAAAAACACAACCCTACAAGAAGACACACCTCTTCAAATTAATATCTATGAAGAGACATACCCATTGAAAAATAATTATATCAAAAGTCATGATTTTCCATATGAAAAGACACACATTTTCATCTAACTTGATATTAGAATATTTCATGATATTCTTCACAATTTTTGCATAATATAGTTTTTATCCTTTACAAATGAATATCATCTTACATTCACTATTTGCTAGGATATCTGGCACCACCGCCAGCTACAGACACCGTTTGTACTCTATAAAATATATCTATATCCCAATAATTGGACACTATTAAAATAATTAGGAGAAGACCACATTTTTTTTTATAGTTTTATGTTCATATAATTTTGCATAAATAATCTCATTTAATTTATTGAATTAATTAAGGCTGTCATCAAGGTTAGTATAATTTTCAACCGAATATGAAAATTTAACCAACTAGCCATTTTGACTAAAAGGTCTATCCAAAATCTAATCCCTTGTATGGGTCACCGAATAAATTCACTATTTGGAATTCACGTCCCATAAAACATAATTCAGGATCCAAGCTTATTCAAAGTATTCATACCTGTAATCCACTTTTGTATTTTATTATCTATCAATAATCAGATCTCCAAAGAAATATTAGTAATATAATTCTTTAAGGAATTTAGCACCAAAACATCAACCGAGTCAAGTCGCAGATCTAAGAACAAGTGAGTAGATTCACTTCTAATCCATCAATTGGAAATTTATTAGATGCAAATAAAATTGCCATTTCATACACCAATTCATGCTTTCCAATCAAAAACCACCACAAACTATTTTCATTGTATTTAAAAATGAAAAGTCACGTCATTCCAAACATTTCCTCCAATGGGACATCAAAACGTATTCCATAATTTAATGCAATTGAAATGAAAAATTTCTTGTGGAGAATATCTATTATGAAATAAAATTTTCTAATTCTACCCATAAATGTATGCAAAGTTATAAGGACCGACAAACAGTCACCAAATAGATCCTTTTGCCTCCATAATGATTTAAAATGAAAAGTCATCATTATATCCATTTATAAATTGCTTAAGATCAGATGCACTTGTTCAATTAAACCACTATTTAGTAAACAAAACCAGTTGGACAGCCATGCATATATAATACTTCTTTTTTATCGCCTTTCCGTGTTATGATAGTATTTCCACAAAATACAAAAACTGCCTTTCCTTTTCAATTTGTCAAGGGACAAAAAACATATACACGGGCATGATAAAAGATGATTGTTGTATAAAATGCACGCACAAAAACAAATTAATTTTAAGATTGTTAAGGGAAATACACCAATAATGTGCAAATTATATTCACAAAAGGTATACCATTTATTTGTGTGAAATTGAAACGTAATTTCGACTTACCGAAATGAGCTTTGAGAAAATAAAACAATAAGTTACCAAGTTTGAATGCATGACTATGGATTCATCCCTTTCCTTTCTTGAATGATCGAACCTTGCCATATAAACATATAAATCAGGTTAATCATTTTCTGAAATTGAACCATAATTAAAAAAATCAGAAAATGAAGAAAGAAAATGCAAGTGATGGATTTTTGGTTGAGGCAAGCGTTGAATACTTTTTCCTTAAGATGAATTTGTCCCGTATCGGTGCTAACAGTTTTTCGACAATCATCTCTCAAGATACAACGGCCACATCAAGTCATAGTAGCACTCCAAATTACTTCAACCAGCGAACTCGAATGAAATTTCCTCTCTATCATAAATATGACTTGGATGCAAGATATAATCACTTGTACAAAGTGTTTTATGTAACATGACAAAATGAATAATATGAAATTATGTGGAAGAAAATAAACGTCCAAGGGGTCCTATATATAGAGCATGAAGGGTTGTGGGTGATGGAACACACCCAAATTCAGCAGTTTCCATAAAAAGTTGCAACGCAATTGTTGCTAGCTTTTAGCACATGTTGCTCGAGCGATAAAAACAGTGAGCTAGTCGCTCGCTTTTTGCTGACCCGTCGCTCAAGTGACCGTCTTACCCGCTAAATTTCGATTTCCTTCAAATATTGGACCTAATTTCTCATTCATACAAATTGGTCTTTAACCAATTTCCAACATTTCCTTTCATTTGTCAACTGGACTTTTGGTCTTCATGGAATTGTATAGTTGTATTTTCGACCAGACAATAGCTTGTTCCAGTATTTTACAGAACCAAATGACTAACAAGCGATCGTCACTTTTAGATTGAGATCCTTGAAGGGGCTTAAATCCAAAGGCAAACTCTCCTGAAGGTGAGCTCCATGGATCGTTAGAGTCTCTAGTGTATAACATAGAGACCAAACCCCAACATGAGAGAGAAAGAAATGAATAGTGCCATTTTAAGGATCAAGAGCAAGGAAAGGTTAAAGACACCATCAATAGTGAATAACTCTATCTCTGTATAACTATTTATTTATTTATTTTTGAGAAAGTTAAAATAATTTTCATAAACTATGGTGATGATTTCGAGTTAAAATAATAAAGAAATTTTATGTAGCGCCTTTCATCTTGAGGGTTACCGATAAATCATTTATTACTATTTAGTAACCCCAACTCACTACTAAACTCTTGTTTGTCATCATTTAACAAATTAAATTTTTGCTACAATAACATTCTTCACCATACGTTCATACAATAAAATATTCCACTTACAAACCAATAAAGATTTTTTTTTTTTAACCCCACATCCTCCAAAAAATACTATTCAAAACTCTATAATTTCACTCATAATGGGAGACAAATATGCTCTAAATAGGACATATATATGATGAACTGAACAACTGTGTATGAGACGATATGTTTAGAAGCCGTGGCATCATTGAAATCATAATAGGATTTCCACGAGGATACTGAATAGGTTGATCTATACAAAACCAACTCATCATTCACTGCCAATTTACAAGCAAAAGAGAATTTTGAATAGATTAGTCATTTCAGAAACCTAATTGTTCAGTACACACTTGGAAAATCCTATCATTCTTGTACTCATTTGAATCTTATGTTCATCCAAATGATATGATTATATCCCTTTTTTCCAAAGAATTTTCAGACACCAGATAATTTGTGGACCAATAAAAAATTACTCTTTTGCTGTAACTTTTAGTAAGATGGATTGAAGAGGACGACACACGCAAGCTGACAGATTTAGTCACGTAGTTCTCTTCTTTAATTTGTTTAGTCAAGCATATAAAAGATGCCATTTTTGTGCAAGTGATCTAATTTCATTGCTGAAAACTACTGAGGCATTAAGGCTACTAGATAGAGTAAAATTTTACATAGAATTCGAAGAAGATGATTGCTTTGCTTAAACATAAAACTTTGCAAGCAAACTTCTAGTCAAGCATTACTCTACAACCAGCAAAGAATATATATCTATATTATCATTCATATGAAATCAAGACTGATAATTCAAGACGAACTAAATACTGAAGGACGAGGAGGGATGGGAACTTCAGCAACTCCTTCAAGCATCTGTGTAATTATTCTCATGGAAGGCCTTATTGAAGGATCCTCTTGAATGCACCAAATTGCCACCATCACTAGCCTTTCTACACTTTTCATGTCATTCCTTGCTTCCTCATCATTTTCCACCATTTTGTTTAGTTTCTTTTTGCTGTAGCAATCGTAGGCCCAATCGATTAGAGCCTCCTCTTCTTCTCCCATTGCAAATACAACACTTGACTTGCAGCAAATGATCTCGAGTAACATCACTCCGAAGCTATAAATATCAACTTTCACAGTGATAGATGCTTTCCTAAACCACTCAGGGGCGAAGTAACCTACTGTCCCTCGAATGTTTGTTCGTGCTGCTCGACTTTGCTCGGCCAACAAAAGTTTTGCTAATCCAAAGTCAGAAATCTTAGGCATCAAGAACTCGTCCAAAAGTATGTTTTGAGGCTTCACATCACAGTGGATTATCTGTGTGCTGCATTCTTCGTGCAAGTACATCAGACCTCTTGCAATACCACATACGATTTGCAACCGTTGGTTCCAATGAGGTCTGGATACCCCAAATAGAAGGGTAGCCAAAGATCCATTGCTCATGTATTCATAAACCAAAAGCCGGTTTTCTCCTTCATCACAATAACCTAGTAGAGTGACTAAATTTTTGTGGTGAGTCTGTCCAATTGCTTGTACTTCCGTTTTGAATTCTTTTTCTCCATCTGGTTCAACCTTATTCAGCGTCTTAACGGCAATATATCGCTTCGGAAGTGAAGGGGTGACACCCTTATAGACCGTTCCGAAAGCTCCCCTGCCTAGTTGCTGCTTGAAGCCTCCAGTTGCCTCCTCGAGTTCTTTGTACGTGTACCTTCTCAACCCAAATGTGGTAGAATCAAACTGTAAATTTAGCATCTTCTTGTGATATATGAAGAAAACACCAACTAGTATGGTTAGCAACAGAAGAAAATTTAGGAATACCGAACTACCAAGAAGTAGTGATCCAACAAGAACTAAAGTAGACTGATCTTTTCTTTTGAGGCACAAGTCTGTCGTGTTGCTTTTTGGGACCTTGATAAGGGCAGTTCTAGTCAAACCTGCGGATTGTCTTCCATTTGAAAGGGGGAACTTCTTCTTCCAACAATAGTTCTTATCATATATAACAGCTGCACAAAAACAATCCTGGAGACAGAATTCTTTACACGTATCCTTATCTACTCTTGATCCAGTCCGTAGTTCATAATCATTTAAGGGCCAGTCAGTTTCATTCAATTCCTTAAACTCTATGAACTCCATGTTCAATTCCCATCCATTTTGCTGGCAACTAGGCAATTGAAAATTTGGCTTGCAGCCTTTCAACATATCCAATGAGTCAACGGGAGAGTATCCTTCCGGGCAGCGACATTGTGGCTTTCCATTTGAGTTAAAACAGTAGCTATTATATCCACAAGCCCCGCTCCCAAGATCTCCGATGACTGCTTTGCACAAATCTTCTGGTATGCTTTGTATAGTAGACCAAGCCGATGTACAACCTTTGGCATCAGCAGCGTAATTCTTTCTTGGATGGTTATAGGCTCTGAAAACTCCATCAGAATCAATCCTTGCCATGTGGTAAAATTCCTGTGGTGAACCCATGTCTTTTTCCGTGATGTTTAGAATGTTTTCCTTCCCGTCTTTTAAGTAGAGATAACCAGCCGTGTCGAAAATAAGTTGAACATCAGGATTCGAGCTCTGAGTATTACTAGCCCAATAAGCATCACTTGTATCTTCAGATGGCCAAACTATAGGGTACAGCACAAGATTTCCATCCCTTTGCATACTGAGCCGAAATTTACCTTTCGTATAATTCGTCTCAGATTGGCGCGCATAGAGATATGTACCCATACTTATGGTCTGGTCAGGCAATATTACATCAGTAGGCTCTTTGAAGCTCTCCCATATGTTAGAATCTCCATTTATTAGCACAAAGTTCCCTGAATTAAGCATGGCAGCACAGGTGGATCTACCGTTACTTGGAGCCGTCCATATTTCTATCCCTTGAGAATCGTAGAGAATGAGTTTCCCTTCATTTGTCAGCTCGACTTTTGATCCCTGAGGTACTGGAAACTCGTTTTTGGACCAAACAATAGTTTGTTCTGGTATTTTATTGAACCAAATGGCTAACAAGAAGAGATCTTCATTGTCAGACGGAGATCGCTGAAGACGCCTAAATCCGAAGGCAAACTCACCTGAAGGCGAGCTCCACGGGCTAGTGTCTTCAGTAGTTAACGAGAAGCCCAACTTTAATGCGCAGTCCGATTGGCCTGCTGCGAAAAAGGCTGAGAAGAGAAGAATCGCTGATATGATCAAGAATGAATTAAACTGTAGAGATAGAAAAGCCATTTCTAGATCAAGCAAACCTTGATGACACAACTGAGCATTTAAATTCGGAAAAAAAGAGGACACAATTGAGTACTTTGACTAGCCCTATTTCTTAACGCGTTCTTTTTGTGCCCGTAAATTAATTTCTCGGAAAAAAATAAGGTGGTAAACTCAGTCAACCCATTCATAGAAAAGCAATTGGTTTTGGCAATTTCAATTGAATTTGTCAAAGTATTTATTAATATTTGTCAAGTCTACAGAATTGTCTTCCGTGTTGACTATGAGTTCATATGGAAACTAGAAAGCTTGATAGAACTTTCCGCTGAAATTTCAATCGGACGTGGAAGACATTTCAACTGCTACATTCTCGAGTGTCTTAAGTTAGAAAATGCACAAATGATGTGAAATTTGTACAGATTTGAGATTCCATCTTAAAATGTCAATATTATTAAGAGGAGTAATGATGGCTCGTTTGAGCATATTAATCTTGAAATTCGTGTGCTTATTTTTGAGTTTTAATCGGATTGAATTGCTTGTTAGAGTTTAATGGACTCTAATACCATGTTGAAAATTGAGGTTCCATTTTAGAAAGTCAATCTTATTAAGAAAAGTAGTATAAATCCTTAAAAATTGATCTATATTTTTATCGTTATTCGATGTGGAATATTCATCCCTTAACAAAATTTCCTCGAGAGAACAGTCAACCGAACAGGATGCTCTTTTTCTTTTCTTTTTTCATTTTTATATTCTTTTGTTCAAGTTCTATTATGACAAGATACACAAAATACACAAAGTATTCCAGAAAAATGTTCACTGAAGAATGTTTACAAACCAAATAGAACATTTAGCATCAAGATTTCATCGATCTAGGGCTCATATATCATTGTACCCTTCTGTACAAACAAGAAACCCCAAATACCCCAAACCAACACAGGAAACCGAACGAGGTTACTTCGACGGACCAAAAGGAAACAACCCCAAAGCTGTATCAACCCTTCCCCGCACAAGAATCACCTACATTCTGTTATTCAATAAGAATACAACCCCAAAAACACAGAAGGTTTAAGGGGGAACACACAGTAGACGAAAGGAGATGAAAGGGAGAAGAGAAGACAGAACTCAGATTCTAGAGAGTTCAAGAGGCGCAAGAAAGAGACGAATCAGCTAGGGCAAGAAATCAGATGCCATTTATATATTAGGCTCATCACCGTTGATTTCACCTAGGAGATCCAATGGTTCGGAGTAGCACACGTGGCCAAATGTTTGGGCTCAGGTTTTGGGCCTCTTAATTTGAGTTATCGGGCAATGCAGTGTAGCATCTAAATTTTGGGCCTAAACCCAGTTTCATCATAGCCCAAGTGTTTGAGTTGTAATTTCAAAATTGACATCACAATTCTAACACTCTCCACCTTGATGCCAATGACTCAAACAGGACACAGAATGCAGAAGAACCATCTTCAACTCATCCATTAGCTTAGGTTTCACAACTCACTGCACCAAGGTGGACACACCAACACCTGCAATTCACAAAGAATTACCAAGCATCAATTTTCAAACAAGATTTAAATTTGTTCAGAGGGAGTACCTTGGTTCCCATATCAGCTGGATTGAATTCACTAGGTATTTTTTCAAGTACAACTGAATTCTTATGAATAATATCATGGATAAAATGCATCCTAGTGTCTATATGCTTTGTCCTTTCATGAAAAACAGATTTTTTTGCACAAATGAATGGCACTTTGACTGTCTGTGTATATAACTACTAGATGAGAAAGAACATTTAATTCACATAACAAACCTTTAATCCATAATGCTTTTTTTATGGCTTCAATGGCAGCCACATATTTTGCTTTAGTGGTAGATAATGCAACAATAGATTGTAATTGTGATTTCCAACTCACACTAGTGCCACACAAAGTAAATACATAAGCTGTGGTCGATTTTTTATTGTCCCTATCCTTTGCATAATCGGAATCAACATACCCCTTTAACACAATACCTTCTTTACAAGGATTAAAACATAAACCCATTTTAGATGACCCTTTTAAATAGCTAAGTAACTATTTTAAGGCAATCCAGTGGTCAGGGCCAGGATTGGCAATAAATCTACTTAAGGTACTGATAGCATGAGCAACATCAGGTCTGATACATATCATAGTTTATATAACAGACCCCACAACATTAGCATAAGGGACTTTTTGCATGTATTCACCAGATTCATCAACAGGGGACTGATCTTTACTCAATTTAAAATGACTTGAAAGTGGTAAAGTGACAGACTTAGATTCATGCATAGAAAATTTAGATAACACTTTTTCCACATAGGCAGATTGTGAAAGGAAAAGAACCCACTGTGACCTATCTCTCTTAATATCCATATCTAAAATTCTTCTAGCATGGCCCAAGTCTTTCATTTCAAATTCAGAGCATAAAGATCTTTTAATGTCATTAATATCACTCATATTTTGGCCTATAAGAAGCATATCATCCACATACAGAAGTAGATAAACAATCACAGATTCATTTTTGTTTTTTTTAAAGTACAAACAACGATCAAATGAGCTTCTAAGAAAACCAACTGATGACACAAAGTTATCAAAGCATATATAACGTTGTCTTGGTGATTGTTTAATACAAAGATATTTTTAACATGCACACGAATTCAGATTTCTTAGGATCAATAAAACCTGGTGGTTGACACATATAAATGGTTTCATCCAAGTCTTCATGCAAAAAAGTAGTTTTTTACATCCATTTGTTCAAGTTCTAGATCAAAATGTGCTACTAAAGCAAGTATGACTAATAGTTGTATACTTAACCACAAGTGAGAAGATCTCATTATAATCAATCCTAGGTTTTTGTATAAAACTTTTTGCTACTAATCTGACTTTAAACCTAATAGGCCATTTCAAATTATTTATGTTATAAATCCACTTACAGTCAACTATAGATTTATCTTTAGGCTTAGGAACCAAAATCCAAGTGTCATTTTTTTAGCAAGGAGTTCATTTCTTCTTCGATGGCTAATTGCCACTCTTTTGACAATTGATAACTCACAGCCTCTTCGTATGATTTAGGTTCTTTAAAAACTAGATCTTGAAATGACAATAAAGCAAGAGATAGACTAATCCAAACAGGTTCCCTTATTTCTCTTCTAATTCTATCCCTAGTTAATTGATAGCCTTCTAAAGGATTTTCTTCTTCACCCACTTCTTGAACAGGCATATTTTCTTCTATTTCAAATTCTGAGATAGCCTCATTTTCAATCTGCATTTCATCAGTATATTCAGCAGGTGTTCTATTCTCCACCTGCAATCTAGTCTCCTCATTTTTATCTCTCACAGGTTCAGTTTCTTGATGTTTCTCAGACATGCAAAGTATGTCTCACTCATTGAAGGTCACATTCCTACTTGTGATCATTCTAAACCCCTTGACACTCCTATCCCACAGCCTGTAGCCTTTCAAACCCTCAAGATACGCCCATAAAAATATGTTTTATAGATCTAGGTTCAAGCCTACCAACACTTTGATGGGAAAATGTTGCACAACCAAAAGTTCTAAGGTGGCCATAATCTGGGATTTTTCTAGACCACACTTCCTCAAGGGTTTTACCATCTAAGGTACTAGTAGGGGTTCTATTTATGATATATACTGCTGACATAGTAGCTTCACCCCATAATACTTAAGGGACACTAGAACTGATCATCATGCATCTAACCTTGTCTATAATGGTCCTATTCATCCTCTTAGTAACTCCATTTTGTTGAGCCGTATAAGGAACAATTTTATGCCTAAGGACCCCACTAGTCTTGCATAGAACATTTAGCATCAAGATTTCATCAATCTAGGGCTCAGATATCATTGTATCCGTCTGTACAAACAAGAAGCCCCAAATACCCCAAACCATCACAAGAAATCAAATGAGATTACTTTGACGGACCACAAGGAAACAACCCCAAAGCTGTATCAACCCTTCCCCCACACAAGAATCACCTAGATTCTATTGTTCACTAAGAATACAATCCAAAAACACAGAAGTTTCAAGGGAGAACACACAATAGACGAAAGGAGATGAAAGGGAGAAGAGACGACAAAACTCAAATTCTAGAGAGTTCAAGAGGCGCAACAAAGATACGAATCAGCTACGGCAAGAAATTAGATGCCATTTATATATTAGGCTCATCACCATTGATTTCACTTAGGAGATCCAATGGTCCGGAGTATCACACATGGCCAAATGTTTGGGCTCGGGTTTTGGGCCTCTTAATTTGAGTTATCGGGCAATGGAGTGCAACATCTAAATTTTTGGGCCTAAACCCAGTTTCATCATAGCCCAAGTGTTTGAGTTTTAATTCCAAAATGGGTATCACAATTCAAACAAGTTCTATAAATAACAAATGGCTAGTTTGTCGTCGTGGTTCTCATTTTTCATCATCTTTTGTGGTTTGTACTTGTGCCTTCAATATTTTATTTCTTGACATCAGTATCCAATTCTTTCATAAATTAGGGGTCACCTTCATCAATGAAAGATATAAGTACGTCAGGGTATTGGGTCGAGTCAGGTTGGGTTAGTTTTTAGGCCCACCCCTAGATCAAAAAATTTACCTCCAACCAAAAGCCTTCTTGAGCTTTGTTGCCAAGTGACAGATTCCAAAAAGACATTAATGGTTGATTTAATTTATGCCTCATCATTAGCACAGTGCAAAGGTGCAGCTAATTTCGGTTGGTAACTTTCGACTTTACTAGTGGAATTGATATGCTAGGAAGATTCTTTTACGATTTCTACTTTTACGTGCAGATTTTTGGTAATCTAAAGTCAGAAATTTTAGGCATCAAGAACTCGGCCAAATGTATTTTTTGAGGCTTCATAAAGTATATTTTATGTGCTGATATTTGGGAGTACTTTTAATGAGTCATGATTTAATTTGTTGTATATATTGTTCGTTAGGTAAAACTCAATGATCGAAAGTGAAATTAGAACAAAGGAACGAAAATCGATGGAAAGGAGGATTTCTAAAGTCTAGGGACTAAAGTACAAATATCCAAAAGTTGATTTAGACCAAGAAATGATAATTGAAATGTACATAACAATTGGATGAAATTTTAAGGAAAGG